ACAAATATTCCATCGGTCTCTATAATTTTGACGTATGCGTTCTCACTTAGGTAAATAACTAAAAGGAAAAAGTTTGAAAATGGATCAGCTAAATACATTTATTGTTTTAATCGGCCAGTATTCTAGAGTTTTTCCAATAAAGATCTAATTAATAAAAAAAGTTTAGGTGCTACGAAAAACCAAATTATTACTTAAAAATACCTCACAATCATGTGCCAGGTAGATCACAATGACTGATTGGCTGGGCTTGAAACATTAGCAACACATGCACAAGTCGCAAAGAGTTTCCAGGCAGACTCTCCGATGGCAACACGTGCCCGAGTATCAGAGTGCCAACTCTATGGCACTGCAGCCAACCGCAGTAGCGTTATAGTACGATTTTCTAGTCGTGCACTTGACGTAAAACAGCTGTTGTTGTCTATTGAGGAAGCTTATATGTCGCTACACGGATTCCAATACGGAGAAGTTTAAGCACCCGATTGGATGAAACCGTGAACACATCATATGCGTTAAGTGCATGGTTAACATAAATCCTAGTGTACAGTAAAGCAGCAAGCAAAGAGTATTAATATTCTATCCCACAGTAACCTTTCAGATATAGTGTATACATGTGAGAAGAGTGGACTTTCTAAGTGCGGTTGTACTGGATTCTGGAAATATTCAGCATTCATGAGGACATTCAAAAAGTAGCCACCATTTTTTGTGTTACAGATTGATTCATCATGGTACGTATTATAATGGTGTAACATTTCCAAATTTAACATAACCTCAACCGGAATCATTCATTAAATTTGTGTTTCATTAATTTCTCAGACGAAGTCAATAAAAAAAGACCTCAACAAAGTAAATAAATTACTTCATCCAAGAAGTAGAAAAGCACAGAAGTTACATCAGAAGGCAAACAGGTAATATATTAATTTGTTTCACAATGAGATTCATTCAAATACTAATTTACATGTGTAAATTGTCCAAAATGTCCAATGACATGTGCAATATTATGTGAAATTCTTATTGTAATTTCTGAGTTTTTTCTTTCTATATTTACAATGACTAAGAACAATTGTTATTGATTTTTCGAAACAATCCCTATTCTGTTATATTTCCAGGCTCATAACAAGAGAGAAATCTAAGAAATTTCATGCAATGAAAGAAAATTTAATTGGTGAAAAACTTCAGTGGTTTAAAGATCGACTGATTCCAAATGTGAGACGCTACACGGGTCAAATGTGTTTGGACATTATTAGCACGTATGTTGTGGTTTTTTGAGTTATTTTTAATTTTAGAGTGCGGTAATTGCTTTATTTATTATTTTAATGTATGTGTTTAGGTATTTAAGTAGATTTGACCAGGAATTAGAACAAATAACAATTGTCCACACAATTGGTAAAAATCGTAAAAACAGACGTTTTGCAAGTAGAGAAGATGTAATAAATATGACCATACTTCATGAAAAGGAAGAATTTGAGACATGTGGTCTGGGTGAGTTCTTACATTAAATTTTTGTTTTTCAGGAACAACATGTGTGTTTGAGTTTTGTATGTTCTTTTTAGTTTTTTAAAACTAGCAAAGCTGTAAATTGTTCACCAATTAACATGGTCAAAAACGAAATTTCTGAATCTATAGAGTAGAAATGTTTTTTATCAACATCTCTACATTTAAAGAAGTACATTCAAACCTGATATGAAT